ACGGTAGAAAATTCTTCATCACCAAATACTTTTGACGGTAATTACAACTGTTAGTACTAACCAGTAAATCCTCTCATTTCCCATAGTCTGTTAAAATTAATTACTAAACATTGGTAAACTATAAAAAATGTTGAATTATTTTTTTAATGTCACTCAATTTTATTTCTTAACTTATTAATTATTGTTGTTGGTTTTGTTTCTGTACATCAAAACCTGTTCAAACGTTATAATATACATTACACCTTCAAGTGATATCATAATGAAAAAGCCCACCTTGTAAACTTCCTCATGGAGGTACAGGAACAGATCCGTCTAAAATAGCCTATAGAAGTAATTACTTAATTATTGCACTGTCCTTTTATTAGTAAATGTACCAAGTAATAAATCTTAAAACAGTATTATAAAGAATACTTCTTATCACAAAATACGTATCTATAAATAGATATTTTAATTGATTGGAAGAAAATGATATTAGCGTGTATTCTAGAAAATAAAAAATTGTAGATTACAATTAAAATATCATAAAATTATTAAAAATCCCCCGGATTACATAAATTCTGATAAACTAAAACATTAAATTATTTTGAGAACATTTTCTACAAAAAAATTACTCTTCATAATTTTTTTAAACTAACATATTTCAACCAAAAATACGTTTAATGCTGTAAACCATGGAAAATTTTAATGAACTAAGAAATCTTCTACATCATACCATATTAACAATTTTAGTAGTTTTTAAAATATCAATAATTAATACAGTTTTAGAGTTTACAACAATGTTTACAGCAAATACGAGGGTGGATCAATAAGTACCCGTGTTTGAAGGCAGATGGCGTTGCTGAGGGAAGTTGGCATTACTGTCGTGTACTGTCATCTGTCACACGACACCATACTAAATTTCAAACTGATTCATAAAATGGTTTTTATTTGGCAGCCACTTGTATCATACGTGTTTCGCATTAATCGATAAAATGGAAAAAGAACAACATCGATCCGTAATTCGCTTTTTATTTTTGGATGGAAAAACATGCGACGAAATAAAAGCAAAGGTGGATGCTGTCTATGGGGACCCTTCACCATCTATGACAACCGTAAGATATTGGTTCAACGAATTTAAACGTGGTCGTACATCTTTTTTTGATGAGGAGCGACCAGGTCGCCCGGCAGACGTCGTTACCGAGGAAAACGTTAAAAAGGTCCAAGACATGATTGTCGCAGATTGCCGAACGAAAGAGCGAGATAGAATTGCAAGATTAAAACCCCATAAAATCCCAGATATTCATCTAACAAATCCAAATGAAATAAAAAAAGCTATAAAAAGCCTAAAAACTAGGACGGCCCCGGGGCCAGACGGTATAAATAGTATATTATTAAAAAATTTCACTAAAAAAGCATATGCACAACTTACATACATAGTTAACGAGGTTTTAAGTCATCAACACTATCCTAAAAAGTTAAAAATAGCACACATTATTTCAATTAAAAAACCCAAGAAAAATGGTAAACTTGCAGAAAGCTACAGACCCATCTCTCTATTAAGCTCTATCGCTAAAATAATCGACAAAATAATTAAAACAAGACTTTTACAAATCGAACAAGACCTAAACATAATCCCGCGGGAACAATATGGGTTCAGGGAAGGGCATAGTACTATCGCTCAAATAATTAGAATCGCGCATCACGCTAAAGAGGCTTTAAATAATCAAAAACAAACTGTACTCGTATCTCTTCACTCGGAAAAAGCCTTCGACACAGTTTGGACCCGCGGACTTATACATAAAATGTTTGTAAATGGATATCCTGTACACATTGTAAAAACTATTCAATCGTACCTACATGACAGGACTTTTTACGTCAAAATTAATAAAACCATTACAGGGCCTTACAAAGCATCTGCGGGAGTACCTCAGGGTTCAGTACTCTCGCCGCATCTGTATATCATTATGACCCATGACATGCCAATGGGTCAAAATGGTATACAGACGGCGTTGTACGCCGACGACACTTGTGTGTATAAATCTTCAGATAATGCAGAAATAGCCACAAGAAGATTGGACATCCATATAAACAGAACGTTTATCCCCTACATGGAACATAATAAAATAAAAATAAACGCATCAAAAACGGAATCACTATTAATAACGAAGCAAGCTAACAACCAAAATAATTATAACAAAACTAAAAATTAAAGATGAAATCATAGAAACAGGAAACACCATGAAATACCTAGGTTGCCACCTAGACAGAGGATTAACGTTCCAAAATCACATTAATGACAGAATTGCCAAATCTACAGGGGCAATTAAAACTCTTTACCCCCTTTTAAATAGAAATAGTCGAGTCACAAGACAAAATAAACAACTCCTATACAATCAAGTCATTCGCCCCACTCTCACTTATGGATGTCCAGTCCTTTGTTCAATGGCAAATACCCATTTTAATAAACTACAAAAAACACAAAACAGGTGTCTCAGGCTAATTCTGGGGTGGGACCGCAGATCTCGAATCACAGACATGCACGGTGCGACATCCATGCTTCCTATTAAAGACTATACCTTGGCAACAGCCGAGAAATTCTTTAAAAACTGTCTTCCCTCAGACGTTAAGGAAGACATATTAAATGTAAATGCCGGAAACAGCGATAATAGGAAGTTTGGATGTCTCCACAAACAACTAAAAATATACGGACAACGTCAATAATCACGTAAACGAGACAGACGTCGACATGGACTCTCCACAGAAACAAATACTAAAGTGAGAACTCAACGGCCGGTTTATACGTACTCTGGTCGGACGGACGACTGAGTGGTGGAGGGGATCCCTGGGTCGGAGTACTGAATTCTTAGCTTTTTCAGGGAAAATGACTAAAATTAAATTTAGACATATCTTTATTAAGGTCACTTACTGCTCAATAGCCTAAAAAATCAAAACAGTTGAATAATACCGATGTGGTAAGGAGTCAACTCTGTATCCAACAAAAGGACAAACGTCTACAGGTTGTGAAGGCAGAGGACCAGCCAAGAATCGACAAGATTCGACGAAGAATGATTCATTTTTCGTACTTTTCTGAACTTGTAGATGTACAATGTATATATTTATGTAAATAAAGAATTTTAAAAGTAAAAGAGTACTGAATTCTAAATTCTGTCTTCCAATTGTGGGAATCTCTCAACCAATCAGATGTCGAATTCTCACATATACTCCACAGACTATTAAACCCAACACACACACATACAAGGACAACCCTGTTTTTTCGTGCTTTTTCAGGGAAACAAAAGCATAACTAAGACAAAACATAACTAAAGACACAGATCAATTATTGTCACTAGACAAATTAAGCCAAACTTGCGGCATAATATCCATTTGGATAAGGAGGTCACAGCCTAAAATTCAAAAATAAACAATTAATTCACCTCGTCACTGAGCAGGACAACGATAAGCAACGTGCCCAATGGAAAAATGTTCGACAACGGGTCCGTAAATGACATGTAGATAATTTTATGAAAATTGAATACAGAAGTATTTAATAATAAAATAAAAATGATTGTCGCAGATCGCCGAACGAAAGGGCGAGAAGTAGCAGAGGCCGTAGGCGTATCATACGGAAAGGCAATTAATATTTTACATGATAAGTTAAACATGAGAAAGGTATCGGCCCAATGGGTGTCGCGATTACTTACGGTGGACAACAAGCGGATATGGCTATCAATTTCGAAGCAGTATTTGTAGTTCTTTAATCGAAATTTGCAGGAGTTTTTGCGTCGAGTCCTCACCATTGATGAAACCTGGATAAATTATTATACGCCAGAGATCAAACGACAGTCGAAGCAATGGATTTTTCGGGGTGAATCTGCTCCGAAGAAAGCGGCCATCGGCCGGAAAGATCATGGCTACGATTTTTTGGGATTCCAAGGGAATAATCCTCATCGACTTTTTGCAGAAAGCAAGTACGATTACCGGGCAGTACTATAGTGAATTATTGGACCGATTAGATGCAAAATTGAAGGAGACACGGCCTCATTTGGCTAAGAAAAAAGTCCTGTAAGAAAAAAATTCTGCTCTAACGAGGAGGTTATCGTCGAGACTGAAGCGTATTTTGCGGAGTTCGAGAAATCATATTTTTTGGAGGGGTTAAATAAATGGCAGAAACGTTCAGAAATGTGTATAGCACTAAAAAGAGATTATGTTGAAAAATAGAAATAATTTTTTTTTTAAAAACTTGCCTCTTCCTTTCTAACACGGGTACTTTTGATCCACCCTCGTATTACAAATGTCCTCCTTCGGCATTAGGTAGGTAATGCCTACACGCAGCTTTTAATTTGTATGAATGACAGTAGGGAAATTATTTAAATTTGTCAGTTCTTTTGCCATTACTTCAATTGTTTAACAACTTTAAACAATAATAAATAATCGCAACGGTTTTAATATTGCCAATCAAAATTACGCAGATATTCAGTTTACATGACTTCTGTGGAGGCAGTCCAAATGCCGCTCGAAGAAGATACAGCCATTTTTACTTTCCTATCTGTATACAGATATAAGGAAAGTATAGGAATCATGATTTTTTTCGACCTCGAGTCTTCGACGGATTTTTACGTTTTGAGGTCTCCTGAATCCGTAAGGACATCTCAGTTAGGTCGGACTTACCTGAGATCTGTTTATACAAGGGGACTTACTCTCCTCACTCGTTTCTCATTATTACGTAAATAAAATTACGTACCTTCCTTAAAATCGTATCTTTATTTCAACTATCTAATCTTTAACAATTCGTCAATTCTAATATCTTAATCTTTTCATTCAACATTTCATATTTACCCATCTGACATTTTATAAATTCCAAACTACCTTGATAATCAACAAGCCTTAAATCCCGTCGGTATTAAAAAGAAGTTCACCAAGTCCGCCTATAGTAGTTTTGAGTTATTAGTATTTTAATGATTTGTTTATGATTATAAAATCAAATCAATTATTTGGACATTTTTCGAGTTGTTCATTTTTTCCTGATAAATTATATTAAATTTAAAGAACATAGGCATAACAAACTAAAAAATGTAACATTTTGGACTTTTTTTTTTCAATTGTGATGTTCTAATTGCCTAATTAAACTGCAGTTTTGACAACGACAAATAACATTAGAGAGATATTGCAAATTTCTATAAACTCCAGTCACTAATAGTGACATAGTAATTAGAGTCATAAATTCCATGCTAAAATCAGACTTATTGCAAACCTGAAATTTTAACATTAGAATCCTTGTCCTTATACGAGTACTTATTTCTAACCTCATTTTAATAACTTTAAATAGGCCTTTTCATCCCAATATTCATCACGTATTAATTTAAGTATATTCATTTAAAAAATGGAAAAAAAAGTAAAGTAATAAGTGTCTTAATTGAAAAATAAATTTTTGCAATCAAAGAACCTTTTAGTATTTTTTGGATTTCGGCTTCGTTTACAAGAAAGAAAAAACAAATATTTTAACACCCTGCATCTTTGCGACAAAGCATCTGCAGAGCCATGTTGATAACAATTATTTGTCTTATTGTTGGGTAAGGAATCATCTCACGAGGTATGGTACAAATTATTTAAGACACCCTGTATATTTTAAATTTTTATTAAAAAAATTGAATCCTAGTCTACGTCGAGTTTTTTAAAATTGCCGTAATAGCCCAATACTTCGGTATTCATGAGCGGTTTTGCTCTTAAGCTCTCCTTTATTTCCATCTTTTCTATGAAGTCGAATCGCTTTGCATATTGTTCCAATTTTAGTTGCCACAAATCTACAAAAGAAAAACCCATTAAAAATATAAATTAAATAATAACATATCTACAGCCGGTTGCAACAATGTTAGTTAAAATATATAGGACAGACATAGCTTAAGAATATGATCTATCAGAATGACATGAATTTAAAATGAAGAACAGTCTAACAAATGTATGGGATCTTTACCTATTAAGAGATTTAAGAAGTATTCTTGCAACAGGTTGCTAATCTAGAAAAAGGTAAATATTGAAGATCTTTCAACATAATACAATTTAAATCAAAATACAGAAAATAATCCTAAAGCCGACACTGGTTACGATAAATAGTTTTGACATTTCAAAAATAGTGAAATCGCCATTTTTTGAAGTTACAAAATTATTTTTTTAAATAATAAAATGAGTTCTTCAGATAGTAAAAATGAATTTCAAGGAACTTCTCCTGATATTCTTGAAAAAGCTGCTAATACTACTAACTAGTTACTGCCTGTAAAATCAACTGCAAGGTATGAAATAGTATATCAAAAGTTTATGGACTGACGTATAAAAAAGAGTATAAACTAATTTTCTGAGAATGTGCTTTTGCCATATTTTGGGGAACATATGGAACATTTTAAACCTTCATCGTTATGGACAATGTAATTTATGTCATTTCCATATAAAATAAAGTGAATTTTGAAACGCACCCAAAATCAAAAGCATACTTTAAAAAGCAGTCAGACAAGTTATAAATGTAATTTTAAAAACCGACTAACAAAAAAAGAATCATAAAAATCGGAAAAAGTGGTAAACATACATAAAGGTGAACATACATAAAAAATTAAGAGTTTGAGGAATTTTTCATGGACCCAAGTATTAAATCTTGGTCAAATTTATATGAGAAAACCCCTGAAATAACCCCTCTCTATCAAAAAGATTGAAATCGGATAACGTAGCAAAGAAGTATCGCTGAATATACAAAATGCTACATTCTACCGGCATTACCAGTACAAAAGTGACGTTGTCACACCCACAAAATGGTCTGACAATGTTTTCTTTATTAATGGACCTCTCTTGACCCTCGTATCATTTTAAACAGGAAAGGAATTTTTTTAGACCCATATGACGGTTTTATGTGACATTTTATACAAATTTAGTTCTCTAGTCTATTCTGTAGAGAGAGCGAATATTGTAAATCAGATGAACATGTTCTGCCATCTGTATCAGACCCAGAATACGGCAATGCTGTAAACTTATAATTTTATTTCTATTTAAGATATTGTTTAATTTTTACGGATGCGTTGTGTGTATAATTAAGCTAGATATAGTTCAAATACATTGTTATTGTTATTTAAGTTAAACAGGATACATTTTGAAATAAATTAATGTAAATTTCTTATTTTGAGTTTCGTTGAAATAGTTGTTTTTTTTTTAATGATTTTCTACACACATTTAAAAAATAATCAACTTAGTAATCTGTTTTTTAATAAATTATAGACCGATGTTTTCGTGTCATAAAAAAAATATGTATTATACACAGGAATATATAATATTTTAGCTCTCGAGTTAAAATATATAACTTTTTGTACAATAAATATCAATAAATATTTACCCATGATGGTTTTCATTGCTTTTTCATCTCCTCCATAATCAATTGGTAACATTTCCCGAGGAATGCTTTTGTATAAACTTTCAATATTGGTATGAAGATGGATCTAAAATTTATGAGAAACTATGTGTTACTAAAAAAAAGATTTAAATCATTTGAAATACGATTAACTTTATAAACAAATTACATCAAAACTTGGGACAAAACAACAATAATGGATTATTAAAATTCGTCCACTAATTGCAATATTAAAGAAAAATACTGATTCGGAAATTTAAACGAGGACCATACAAGCCAAACCAGCGGAAGTAGCAGTAAATAGGAAGTCGCATGTAACTTGCGCAAGGCTACTGAACAGGTAATGCGCTGCTCAATTGTCCGCGTTCAGATTTTCGTACCTGTTTTTCATATTTTCCAGCTCTACAGAAAAATCTTCAGTGGACATCTGGTTAATTCTACATAATTTGTAATTCGGTAAAATAAAAATCTTAATTTTTATATTTATTTCACATCAACTGATATATTATAATTCCCAAAAAGGGCAACGTGTTAGCATTTCAGTCATCTAGGACAAGCACAAGATGCGGTTTATGACTTCCTACTGTATGTCAGCACATTTGTAGCGCTAAAACACGGTAAAGGTGCGATTTGGGTGGTACTGCTCGAGCTGCGCGACTAGAGATGCTGGCCGCGGCAGCTGTAGCCGCGATGAAAAGATGTTTTCGGTGACGCAGTTCTAGGCAGCCGTTAACTGCGGACTGTAGCATTTTTGTCTTTTTAATTTTTTGCGGGGTTTTTAAAAAATATGGATTACGACGATTTGATAACATTAATTTTATTAGAAGAAGAGGAAGATGAAGAAGAATTTTACCAAATGTTATCTAGAAAAAGGTGTAAAGTAGATGAAATGTTTAAAAGGCAATGCGACGAAAGGTATTTTCATTTATTAATAAATAATCATCTAAAAGAAGATGAAAAAAAGTTTAAGGAATTTTTCCGATTGAATCCTGATCAATTCCAATTTGTTTTGTCACTAATAGAACAAGACATTACAATCCATGGAACAAATTTTGTTAAATATCCCACCACATCCGATGATAAATTGGCTCTGACATTAAGGTAAGAAAAATAATTATACAAGTAATTTTTTTATTTTTAAAAAATAAACTAAAAAATACAAATGCTTATGACCGACATGGTCAACCTATTTTGTGGGAATAATATAACAACTCTCTAAACTGGTATTCATTAATCCTCATCGTACTGTGTATCAAAAACTGAAAATAATTATTTAAGAGTGGCACCGATGGTGATTGAGAGTTAGGATTAAAAGGACGTAATTGATTACATTTTTGTAATTTTTGTCTTCATAATCATAAATTACGGGATATTTTTGTATTTTATTGATTAAAATTTCATCGTCATTTGACGTAAATGGCGCCATTTTTTGGCCTAGTCACTACGATTTCAGCCGCTCGACTGCTTCGCGAGCAGTCGAACAGCAGCCGCTGCCGCGGCAGCTGCTAGCCGCCGCAGCCAGCCGCGTTACCGAAATCGCACCTTAAGAAATCTGAATACCATGCCCGCTCTATGTCACTTTAAATCATACGTAAATTGTGTGCTGCAGTCCAGGAGGACTTCATGAGCGTACAAGGGCGTAAAAGAAGATGAAATCCTACCAGCTGATAAAATTGTAATTATTTTTGAATGATAGAGTTGAATAGTTTTGTTTTTATTTTGTAGTCTGGTTTACAAGTAAAAAAATGAAGTTAATTATTACTACTGCTATTCTATATATTGAGTTGTTTTTACAATAGGTCTGATTATTAGACAGTATTTTAAATGCATTAACTTTATTTGTTTAATATATTGGTTTTCTCTTGATCAAATGAAAAACTAACAGAATATAATGTTTTTATTATAACAATATATTTTGTCAAATATACACGGTCTTTACATGTATTAAGAAAATAAATTTATTTTTAAGCATTTGGCACATTACTGTTAATATTGCTTAGTAGTGAGTGATTTCTTTTTTTAAAAATACTTGCTGACTGAACCCGATATCTTGTTTTCGCTCCTGCAGATGTATGTTTTCTTCGACTGATTGCTGTTTATAGCTAAAGAATCAGTTCGCTCACTCTGCGTCGGCACTTTTGATCTTAATGTTCCAGTTTATACACTGCGCAACTCAGATTTGTATCCCTGGCACATACAGAATCAAATCATAAGCAATACAATATATGACAACCGCCTACTATATTCAAACAGCAGTCTTCTGCGCATCTTGAATTTGTATCCCTGGAGTGGATGTTATTTTGAAACATTTAACTGGTCCAAGTGAGCTAACTGATTCTTTAGCAATAAACTGTGGTTGTACTTTTATTTTCCTACTTCTTCTAAACGTCATTTTATTTAGTATTAAATCGACAGCTCGATTTGACGTAACAATTTTTTTTAAGTGATTGGTAAGTGAATTCATTGCTTTTAAACCACCAGAACTTGGATTTTGCTTAAGCGTTTCCACTAATCTGTAAACATTTCAAAGTTTCGTGCGGATCGGCTCTCGTGTTGCCTTGCGGAATGAATTCCACCTATAGGAAGAGCAGAAGCCTACTTAAAATCATACCAGGTGACAACACACGTAGTAATTATAGGGTTCACACGCGCGTATTGGTTTATAAATCCCTACGTGATTTTTGCGCTAGCACGAAGTAGTATTTTTAAAGAATTTTGGAAAAAATATGCATTTAATTCCTCCTGTATTTTAACACCTTAGGGTGCTAACATACAGTATGAATTCATAAAGCGCGCACAAGATACAGAGCTTTATCCTGTGTAATTTGTAAAATTAGTAATATTTTTACTTTAAAATGCCAAAATACTAAATCACATTTATGTAGGTATTTTACTTCAACGATGTATGACTTTTCTTTTTTACTAGACAGCATTTCTCATTTGATCATTACTAACTCGGCAATAAAATTAATTTTCTGCACATGAGTTGACTCCAAGGGATTTTCACCTCTAATTCTTTTGTTTTCGTTTTCAAATGATGCCATTTTACGAAAACAATCTAAAAGTAATAGTGAAATAAAATAAAAACACAGCATTAACATAACCTCAAAATTAGTATTGAGCTATTTATTTACTTAATAAAAATCTTACCTTGATATATAATAGGTTTGGTCCAACGACGATCCGAAACCAGTCATTGGCACCAGGATTCTGCGCAGTATATAACTTAGGAGCCTATTAATCTACTGTACAGAATCCTGGTGGCAATGACTGGTTTCTGATCGTTGTTGGAACAAACCTAATATCAATACCCTCTTTAATAGAAAAGGGAGATTTACCTAACTTGAAGCCAGTTCAAATCCTACACTTCCTTGACAAAATAGGATTGGAAGGGTCGCTATAGGCATTGAGACATTTCATTAGTGCAGTGGCGACAGAAGGGGACACAATAGATCTTTTAGGTTCCAGTGTATTAACACTCCATTCTCAACATAACATAATACCCTCTTTACCCAAATATTTAAGCCAGCATTCTTATTTTCGCTCAATTTATAAATAAGTCGTCGATCGACGCGGCAACCAACAATACACTATGTGTATATTGTGTGTTGCCAAGTAGAGGAATGGTTAGCAACAGCAGACCATAGGAAAATAAAAATAGAAGGTTTGAATAAATGGCGGGACTTGTTTCCATGTTTGTTTCAACCATAAGCGCTTAGCGTGCTGCTATCACTAAATTCAAACCCGTTTTACACCCATAAAAAAATATGTTTTTAAAAATAATAACAAAAGAAATCAATAATTTTACTGATTTTACCCTTTAAATATTACTTATGTGTGATTAAATACAGGAATAATCGTTAATAAATGTAAAGTTAAAGCTAAATTTAAATATTATGAGATGGTGTAAATCTGGTCTTTACGCTTTTATAATAATTAAGGTTATGTTGCACTAAATATGCAAGATGCAAGTCTGATAATGGCTAAATATTTTTTTTTTAATGTAGGTGAGTAAATTGTATTAATTTAGTGTAAGTTAAATTTAAGTAACTATAGTTAGGTTCTTATGAATGTCATTAAAATCTGATTCATTTAAATTTTAATTGCAGAAGTAAATATTTTTCTCACAAAACTAACAAGAAATTTTATATTTTTCCTGCTATTAATATAACTCTTAGATAAATGGATCAACATTTTAAATATTTGTGGTCAAAAAAATAAAAGGAGTTGTGAGCGAAATGTGTGAAGCCAATTTACAAATATTGTAGAAGATAGAACTTCATCATAGTTTTATTCATAAAGACCATGAAAAAAGACGATTGATTTGTGTTCAAAGAGTTATTGTTAATTTTTATTCATTTTTGTTTTGTTTTAGATATATTCCTGGGTATGGAGATTTTTGGAATGGGCATAAATATCTATCCAAATTAGGGTGTGTTTCAAAGCAACTACTCTAGATTGAAATATATAGATAAAGGCCATAAAGGGATAATAAGTATAAGAATATTAGAATTATAATGATTTTTCCTTGCATTAATAAGTCAATATTAGGGATATTTAAAACAATTATGTTTTATGCCCTCTTATATCCAGATTTTTAAATAACAAAATCATTATCATGTACTATGCTGGTTATGATATAAATATTTTTATTTTTCAGTAATTTAGTGTGTGATATAGTGCTTATGTTATGTTCAGAACATGCAGATAGAAGTTAATGAGACACATGTAATTACATGGTAATTCTATATAAATTAAACTTTTTAAAAATGTGTTTTATTTTTCACCTATTTTTTTTTTTTTTTTTCAGTTAAAACAAGTGACATTTTCCATTTTGCAACATTTACTTACAACAAAAATTTCCCAAACTTATTGTTTAATTAGTAGTTGTCAAATAGGAAAATGTTACTTCAAATTGCTTCAAATATCTAAATTATAAAGCTCCCCACGTTTTAAATCACTTTACTTAGTAGTGTCCTACTTTATCAACTGAAACTGACAGATATAGTTCAACCGTAAGCGCTTAACGCGCTACTGTCGAGGTCAAGTAAACTTGTTACCAACTATTTACATGGAATCCGACTCCCG